TATGTGTTCGTGGGGGTTTGACGGAAGTAGCGGTCATTCGGTTTATAAACAAAGATACCAATCTGTTGACAATGAAAATCTAAGAGATGAGGCTGATGGAAGCATATTTGCCACAACATTCATACCATTGCAGTTGCTTTCTGATTCAAGTAATATAGTGTTATGGTACAATCGAATGCCGCAATCAGCAAGATTTTGCAGATCCATTAAACTGCAATATGCTAAAGAGTCAGCAGCAATTATTAAATTACAGAAAAAAAATATTGACGAGCAGATTGATAAATTAGAGATATTTGAAATTTTAATCGATAATATTCATCGAGTAAGAGTTCATTATTCGTTATTCCTTACTTTAATAGATGGTAAAGTCAGGCGCGGATCCAGCCTCCAGATTAGGGGGAGGTCACCTAGGTATCCTACCAACTTGGAAAACAGAACGAGTGGAGTGGAGCGAGAGGTTTCTCAAGCTTCGTCATCGTCAGTTTTCAGATACTTACACAGTTACGCAGCAAATGACTTGAAAAATAAAAAAACGTGACGGATTATACAAAAAAAACTTTAATTTAAATTACAAAGTCAATTTTTCTATTTTTTTTTTTTGAAAATTTGTTAATTATCTCATCAACGTCGAGATTTATGTTTTTGTGTATATTTAGAAGAGCTAGTCCAGATAATCTCTCTTGTGCCATTGAGGCACGTAGCCAAGATTTGACTCTACGTAGAGTTGAAAATGATCTTTCAGCAGTCGCTACGCTTACTGGGAGAGTAACAAGTATTTTCAAAAAAATATTAATGTTGGGGTACAAATCTTTGTCGCAGTTTTCTAACAGGTGAACTACCGATTCTGGGATGGGGGATTTATTTTTTATTTCCCTTTTCCATTTGATCATCCAGAGTCGGTATTCGTTAACAACTGAAGATGTTTGACTACCGTCCAAAAATGGCTGGTACATCTGCACGACTTTTCGTACCAATGACTTTCGTATCAATGTCTTGGTCGCTGTATGTCGACTTAGGTAAAAAGACTCCTAACTGAAATAGATCCAGAACATCAGGAGAAAGTCTTTGGCTTAGATCGTTTATAACACAATCCAAGAGGGGTACGTATATTGATCTTCGAATATACTCCTCCACAGATTGCGCCGGATGATTTGATCTATGTGTTTGCCTGGAAATAGTTCGCGACGATTTCAACTCAACATCTAGTTGTTTTGCTACTTCCCGAGCTTCTGAAAATAATTGTTGGAACACAGAGTCCACGTTTTCTCGTTTTGATTTCAACACGTCAAGTGTGTCCTTTATTGCATCCGTGGCTCTTTTCATATCTATAGATGCAGTTTGCAAAAAGCGACTCAGTGCAACGGTTGTACCTAAAACGTAAAAAATACATATTAGTACGTACATGCACCCGCAAGATATGTTGGTCGATTGAACGAAATCCATCCTTCAAAAAAGTAAAGAATGGTTTGGTTACCTACCTAAAATGTCATTCAAGCATACTGATGATATGATAAAGTCGGAACTGCGCAGTGTTTGTAAGAGACAATGGGCATCGCTTGATGTTTTGCTATCTTTCCATGTCGATATTCTCTCCAGGGCGTTACAAATTTTGATCAGATTATCACCCTGAAATTGTAAGTGTCCATCATGCCTTTCAACCCATCGCGTCTCACATATACTTTGAATTGCCACGCCGCCAAGTTCTTGTAAAAATACTTCATGGCGTTTTGCAGATGCGTTTGCAAACGCTACGATTTTCTTCATCGTCGCAGATGTGTTTCTGCACGACGCGACTTTTGATGAATTGGCCAAGGAGTTATTTAAGACATGATTATTGCAAGGGCAACGTTTCGCGTGAATGGCTTTTTTAGTTAGTTCCTGAACTGCACCCTTCACATCGGAGGCCATCACTGAACAGCTGTCGGTGCCAATACCCACACAGAAAGTCAAATCTATATCAAATTTGTGGCAAAGATTTTCTACAATTTTTGCTAATGCAACTCCTGTTAACCGAAGTTCTTTGCTGCTATCTGCTTCTTCACATCGAAGCATCTCATAAGCGTCGCAAAAGCATATAAAGTCTTCTTTAATAACACCGTTATTATAATATCTAAATGATAGACTCAACTGCTCGGTATGAGAAATGTCTGTGGTCTCATCAAACAACAGAGAGAAAAACTTAGCATTCTTCACGTTTTGTAAAATATTTTCCTGTATTTTCTCTTTGCAGATGTCTATTAGTTCGTTTTGCACAGTTTTGCTTATGTAAGTCACATTTGAACTTGCTGTTGCTAAATGATGCTGGAGAACTGTGTCACCAGCATCAATTCTAAATTTCAACAAAGCTCTGAAATTCCCCTCTGGAGCGGAGACCACACTTTTGTCGGTATTTGTACTGAAAAACTGGCCATCGTCTCTGTGGCCGCGTAGTGGTATATTTTGACGACCACAGAATATTATTGTTTTTATAATTGGTCGCAAGCGATCTCTGTTTTCCATAATTTGAGCCATTCGTTGAGTGGAAATCTGGTTGACAATATCAAGCTCCGGCTTATGATAGCATGCTAAAAAATTTTTCCCACTTTCGACGGCCATCTGATGATAATGATTGCGCTGGTGTTGTATTAATAACCCGTTTTCTCCTAATAAGCGGTCAAAAACCTTCAGTGGTTCCTTTACAAGTCGTCTGAGGTTTGACCTAGCAAAATCTGTGGCAGTAGTAGCAAACAAGGCGCAATACTTGCAATAAAGCCCCTGATCCACGTGTGATAACACAAGCCAATGGAATTTTTCAAGGTGAGATCTTTGAGCAAATTTTTTGCTTGGCTTTCCTAGTTTTATTACAACGTTATGCGGAAAAACATAGTTAGATGGTGGCATCCAATGTTTCTCAAGCAATAATGCTCTAGTAGAATCAGATAATTGATTCATGTTTTCATTAATATAGCTTCCGATATCTGAAGCGAATTCAGAGTTCAACGAGTCATTTGATATTGCAGATGACGTAGACGGCATGTCTCGTTTAGTAGCAACAGAAGTAGAAGCAACATTATTCGAATCATTATCATTAAAGCAATTTTCATTACTGGTATTAGTGGTTTTCAGTGCAGGCACTTCCTTTTCTGTTAAAATGCAAGCCTCACCATCAATTTTTTGTTTTTTAAAAAAATACGTGTTAATTTTTCGCATTGAACTAGCATCATGGCCACTTCGTTTCGATCCACCACCTCTTTTTTCCACACTATCAGCCTGACCCAAACCAACCAAAGAAAAAAAACATTCACAATCAAGCCAGTACATTTTTTACATAAACACAGTCAGTACAATATAACGAACAATTATCCAGTCATTAGTTTTGTATTCTTTGCGAGAATATTAATGTTAATTAATCATGCATTTACCTATTAGTGATTAAAGTTATCAAGGTGCAACAAAAATCATTAAAACCAACCAAACAAAAGCCCCAAACAAAGTTATTATGTACTAAACTAACTTACCATTACTTTCTTCTTTATTTCGCGTCGCGTTGATTTTCATTCAGACATCAAAATTCTCTCACTTCAACTAAACTAACTTACATTTATATTAATAACAACTTAATTCTTTGTTTCATGAATATCATTTAAATCGCAACGCAGCTACGTAAGCAACAGAATTCGTCGAGGTTATGTTTTTGTTTGTTAGCCTATCAAGAAAAAAAAATCAAAGTAGACGCGCTAGGTCGCTGACTTTGTTTACACTGTGCGCTTAGTCCGCGAATTATACGATGAGGTGTCTTTGGCTACGTTTACACCGTACATTTAGGTCGCGTCCTATACAATGCCCTTGTTTAACCTACAGGATGAACAAGAATATCTATTGTATAGACCGTTGTATAGGCCTAAATGCACGGTATAAACGTAGCCACTCTCACCACGGCTTTCTGTTATTTGTCAAATCTGTGTGCCGAACGCTTTGTGATTTTTTATAAACAAATTATTCAAAATGGGCTATGATAGTTGTGTTGTAAATTGCAAAAATACCGGAAGAAATAATAAATGTAAATTTTACAGATTCCCAACGGCAAGTTGGAAATTCGAACAACGTAACAAATGGATAGCTGCAGTTATACGGTTAAAGAATACACGTTTGAAAAAATTATTATTGCAGATTTAAACGGTAGGATAAATAACGAAATAACTCTACTTAGAATTATCCCGATATATCCCATAGTAGAGGAATACTTAATTAATAAAAGAAATAGTAAACAATAGCAAATAACTTGATAACTATAGGAAATAGACGAATCATTAGTATAACATAAATTGTAGTATTTATGTTAACCGACCGAACCGAACCGACTGACGATTGATTTCAAAGGAGGTGGTCATGACCCCATTGACCACCCCCGTGGATCCGCCACTGGTAACTCCAGGCGAACCGTCGACATCGACTGCAAGGCCAAATCGCTATGGACGGAAGACAATGCTCTGTGTTTGGTGGGATCAGAAAGGTATGATCTATTATGAGCTGCTAAAACCTGGCGAAACCATTAATACTGAACGCTACCGACAACAAATGATCAAATTGAATTAAGCTTTGCGTGAAAAACGACCGGGATATAAAAAAAGACAACACAAAGTGATTTTGCTTCATGATAATGCACCATCACACACAGCAAAACTGGTCAAGGAAACGATTGAGGCGTTTGGTTGGGAAATACTTTCGCATGCAGCTTATTCACCAGACTTAGCTCCGACCCATTACTACTTATTTGCATCGATGGGACACGCACTTGCTCAGCAGCGCTTCACTTCTTACGAAGATGTACGAAAATAGCTAGACGACTGGTTTGGCTCAGAAGAGCAACAATTTTTTTAGCGTGGCATCCACAAATTGTCAGACAGTTGGGAAAAATGTATAGCTAGCAATGGGCAATACTTCGAATAAAATATTTTTTATCATTTTCATGCAATAAACGCGTATTTTTTATTAAAAAATTCCGGTTTCATATTTACATATCTGGTATGTCAATTTACATATTTAATTATCTTGAAAATGCATTAGGCAAAAGATTCCAAACACCAATGTAGAAGTCAAGCTCGTTTATGTTGTAACAATATATGTTATAACTGATAAATGAAAATAAGCCAATTCCAACGAGCAATATAAACACGCAAAGATCTTTATTTTAAATAAAATCTCTTTAATAAAACTGCGCCGTATAATTAAAATTAATGGTATAACAGCTGTTATATACAAGAGATTTTTATTTGCGTATGTTTAAGGGTAGAATTGGCCCATTTTTACAATTGTTTTAAAATAATCTCATTATTTCCGTTAAATCTTTTTTTTTTACAAATGCAATTAACTTCAACGTGTTATTTTTCGCTTATGATGTCACGATTCTGTGGTCGTTCAGGAGTCCTAATATAATAAAATTATTACTTAGCGTTAATATTAACAATATATATTTCTTACAATTGTTTTCACGGTTTTGCTGAGCCAACAAATATAACATCTACTTTCCACAAGCACACATGCATTACAATTACAGAATAATGAAAATTTAGGAAACGAACCTGGGATGGAGCTGGAACACTCATTTTGTTGTGGTACATTTTTTGTTTTATTTATTGACTACTAGTAGATGTAATAATAATTAATAATTAATTGAATTCAATAAATAAATTCAATTTTAAATTCGTTTCACGTTAATTTTTAGTTTTATTTTATTTTTAATTGTGTGCTTCTTGCTTTTATTGTATAGGAAAATGTCAGCCAGCATATTTTGCAAAATTTGCGATAATAGAGCGCAAGCTCAATAGGATTATTCATTTTATCGAAAATGAAAATGCAAATGTTGTGCAAGAGGTGGATTTATCTCTCCTGCCAAATTTTCTCCTCAATAGTGTAGAGCAAATAAATAACTTTAATATACACAACTGAAGGATGTAAATGTTCGGAAGCAATTTGTAAGTATATATTTTATTATTTGCAAATTGAAAGACTTATGGCCTTGAATAATGATGTCACGTTGACAGCTTTAATTAATTACATTTATAGAAATTAAATAATTTATTACATTAAATAATCAAAAACAATTAAACCAATAATACATTACATTGCACACAAGTGTATACGCGTATACACACACACGCACGCACGCACGCACGCACGCACACGTGCCCGCGTACAAATCTTATAAATGTTCATTTGTTACAGATGGAAAAAATGTCTACATTAGGCGGAGAATCAGTATCAAAAGTTGATAGAAACATCATGTCTCACAATATTGGATACGAGGTTGCGCTAGGATACACCTGGACTGGACAAAAAAAGAAATAGCAATGAAGAAGTCCAAATTATCTGACGCAATAATTGGTATAAAATCCTCATTCAACATTTGGCCTGTTTGGGACGAGTCTTCACTCGTCATTTTTGAAGAATTGTTACAATATATATGGTCTTGTGAATTTTATTAACATATATATATGTTAATTTTATATAAACAATATGTATTAACGATTTTATATATGTATTAATATATGATTTTATATGTATTAAAGTTATATTTCAAAATTTTGAACTGAAATATAGATTATGTAGTTGTGTATAAACATATTTAATGTTTTATTATATTATATCACATATTATCAGGGAATGGAAGTAACTCGTTACTTGTAACGAAGTTACAGTTACAAGTTACTTTTTTGGTAACTTTACTAGTAACTGCGTTACTCTTTTTCTTTGGTAACTGTAACGGTAACGAAGTTACATTTCTTTGATAACGGTAACGAATTTTACAGTTACTTTTATCGTTACTTTGCACATGATTGGACACGATACGACACAAGCTATTTACACTGTAAAAAAATTTCGTA